TTCGAGTGGGTCAACTGTTGGCAGAGGAATTGGAGCATCGACTACACTTGGGCCCCGGAAATGACTGGTTTGACGATCAAAACCTCAACTTCCAACGGCGCATTATGCACGCCTCCCACCAACCGGCCCATGACTCGGGTTACCCGTCGTCAGTTGGAAGCCACTCACCAAACGAGCAGGTAAGGCTTGGTTAATTACACTTTTTGTACGCCAACGAAGGTTAACTGTTTGGCTATAAGTTCTCTTAACATCCACCCAATAAATGCAAAAATCACGCTGCCATAATCATCTCCGAGTTATATTTATTGATCTGTGAGAAAGTTAATTTGAATGAATTTAGCACCTCACCGCAGTTCGCACCAAGTGGCTTTGTTCGTAGTTTGTCCATCGTCGATGTTTTCGAAGTAACTTCCATCTGTGCATATCGTTTTCGTGTCAAACTACATGATGGCACACATTTTGTGCTATATTTTGAGAACTTGCATTCTGGCTGTTATCATTAGTATTTATCAGCTTCTGTAGTAATCGGGAACCTAAAAGGTGCTTTGAGCCGGGTCACTTCTGTTTATTTTCTGTTTAAGCAACCTGCTCTGTGGAATTAACATTTTTGGTATGTAGGCCAAGCCGACATTCACAGGACGAAGCGTGCTGCCTTTTGCATCCAAGTGGGTCGAGCCATGGACGTAATTGACTACCATGGTAGATTTTCAGCAACGCTACTGTTAAGGACGATCCCTTAGTTTTACTACGGCTGTCTTTATCCTAAGCCTTTACCCAGGCCGACTCGCTGGTTTCCCACGCTTACCATTTGTTCTCCGCGAGTATATCTGATTCAGATTGGAAACTATAAGTGGACCATTAGCTTTAAATCGAATTAAATACATAAGGACCTGTAAACATCAAGGAGAATATGCACTTGTTTTACCGGTCAGTTGCTTGTGATGATTAAACACCAGTATACCACATTTTACTTCGGCCTCAAATTTTAGTTTGACTAACCCTTCATAATACTTTTTTTGCACAACTAGATTTCTCGCAAACCAACTCCGGAACCTATGTGCGCATCATGTCTCCTATTAAATCGCAGAAGCATTTATCAAGCTCCGCACTCCTTTAAAACAGAGCAGCCGGGCATACCTCACTCTACACCGATCGAGCAGTCATCAACTCTGGCCGGACATCTTCCAGGGCATTTTGACGCTTTGCAGCAGCCAGTCAACAGTGGATCAGATCGCAGGGGGCGGATTATTCGAGGAAGACCCCTAGAAGATGTCTGCAGTAAGTATCAGACCACAGACGCCTTCTTTAGCCGGGCAACAATGACCATGGCAAATCGACTCCAGGCGCAGAATCACAATATTTCCTCGCTCACGGATTTTAACATCTCCTCAGGCCTCTACTGGAACCCGCTGATGGAAAACCAGTCCCACGTTGAACAGCCATCACCTGTGCGTCAAGAGCCAGGCTCCACCCATAATCTACCTCACCCTATTGTTGGTCGTCTTGCCCACCCCGCTGCGGATCCTACCGACCTATGGAAATGCGGATTCGAGGGGCAGTTTCCGCATCAGTCCAATGAAATGCTTAGGGTAAGTGCATTGCTTATCTTCTACCATAAAACAGGCATTATATAGGGGTCCAGGTGTGTTTCACTTATAATTTGCCGCTATATGGCACAGCTGCGAGGGGTTTTGTTCGTAGGTCATTTCCTAAGCACTATACTGTCTACCTGTTGACAGCTTGTGAATAGTAGGCGGTTATCCCTCAGCAGCGGATGACTTCTGTACAAATATTCATGTCAAATTTCGGTCTGTGTCTGCAGACCTTAAATATATTGATTTACTTAAAGTTCAAAATTTAATTTATATGGAAAGTAACAAGATACGATGCAGTAGACTTGGAGAGCTGTTGTTTGGCTAGTTGCCAGATTATCTAACTAATAGCATAAAAGGATTCTCGCCCCTTCAGTAGCATAATGATGCCACCCAAAATAATATCCCAGCCAACCGTCGGCCAAATTATTTGACAAACAGGGTACTCCTCTATGGAAGCTACGCGTACTTTTTGCTGAAGACCACATTCTGACAAATTGCGTTAATTGCACGCACAATAAGTATAAGTGGGGTCTTCAATTGATTTTTCGGTGACAATGGGTCGATGGCAACGTTAACGTTTTTTCAATGGACCCATTTGGGAAAAAAATCGGCCTCTGTAGTGAGTCAAACGCACACAGCAGGGAAGGCTTCTGCGCAGCCAACGCTCTACCATTTGAGCAACGAGGTTCACCGTGAACCGTGAATTTGGTCACAATTGGATCGATTTTACCCGCCCAACTTGCCGTTCTTATGGAATCAACCATTACGGAACAGCAAACTGACTGCTCAGGTAGGATTTCCTAAGCAAGCATCTAGAATCCACCAGAATGTAGGCTCATCTAATCGTGAGGCCGCCGAGGCCGCACATTTTTCACAATAGGGTCAACTTAATTAAACAAATCTACCAACCCCCCTTACAAGTTTACGGTTGTCAGAATTTACTGCCCTTTTATCCGACTGACCTGGCGATGGCCACGACAAGTAGGTGGTTCTGCGCCAAGATGCAGGCGGTG